TTTGTTCGAAGATAAACTCCCCATGCCTGTAACAATATAATTACATATTAATAGCAAAAATAATAATGATATAAAAATATAATTTATTTTAATGTAAACACTATTTACATATTTACAGATGTTGGCATATTATTATTACCCGAGCTCAACATAAATCAAGAAAAGCTTTCTTTACTAGCATTTCACTCCGCAAAAGATGATCTCAAATTCGGCGCCGTTGACATTTCGCCTCCATTGGCAGACCTGCGTCACGTCTAGTTAGTGAGTGCTTCTTATTACTCTGTACTCTGTGGTCGTGGTCTAGTCACGTGTTCTGTGTGTAAAGTGTAAGTGTCTATTATACCGTTTGGTACTACGCATTAGTTTCAACGGCGTGTTTGTGTTTTGGTGTTTATTTCTATTTTATTTAATTAAGTGCTTTGATCAATAAATAGTCCAATGGCCTAAATTGGCGATAAATTGTTTGCAGATTTTGGTTAGTTTTTGATAAATTATTAATTCAATACGTGAAACAAAACAAAGAATTTGACAGCATTCTACTTCGTATTCTCTTTGATTTTGTATGTGAAATATTCGTTGAAAAAGTTCGTGATTTTCACGCTTGTTGTAACACGCTGTTGATTTAATTTAAAGCACAATATTCGTATTATTATGATTATTATGTACATACGCACGTACTTTATTTATTGATATCATTCCAATTTCCGGAAACGCTATGACTAATGCATGTTCTATTTTAACACTGTTGTTGAAATTAGTTTTCTTTCCTTTTGAGACTATTTAAAATATTTTATTTCTATATATGAATTAGTATAATATTTTGTACTTTCAGGTGTCGGTGAAGAAATTTTATTCAACATAATAGAGATTCATGTGAATGTTTTGCCGAACAAAATCATCCTACATTCTATAGCCATGCAAGGTACACTGAGTAAGAATTTTTAGCAAGTAAGTACCTGCAAGTTTTTTAATGCGATGGTTATAATCCTGATAAGTATGATCAAATATGCTGTTTTAGAGAACACTTAAAGGCACATGATGCCAGAATTCGATTAGTTATCAGTATATCTCTGTATGATTACGAGTTTAGCAGTTAGTTCACGATATACAAGTTTTACTACTGCTAGCAATATGATTGGATTTTTTGACCCAAGTTTTCAATTGTTATGATTGGATGAGAAGTCCTGAATTTATTAGGGAATTTGAATTGAAGTGCTTTAACAGATACTCATTGTAATAAGTTTATAGTAATGGTTTCTTTAAATGTTTCAAAACAAAACATTATCGGATTTGAACTTGATACTCAATACTTGTTGTTCGCCACCAGCATGAAACCTTTGAACCATTATTGGCTGAGCTTGGGACTTTATTCTTTGTTAACAATGCTGGCAAAATGTTTTCCTCTACAATTAAGCAATGAAAGCACTTGTATTTAACAGTGCAATATTTTTGAATCACAAAATTTAGTATTAGATTACCCTGGTGACAATAGCATCAATTCCAAATACAAATTGCTTTCTTCTATTCAAACAATCAATGAAATAATCAATGAACATTTTTACATATATTGATATGTGATATATCATCAATAAAATCATGAACATCTTCAAACATCAATTTTAAAATCCATGAGATTTCGTCTTTAAGCCTGCATTCAGTGGACTAAAATAAAATTTAGGTATGTGAAATATGATAATATGTGCATACGCACGTTTTCCTCTACAAATTATAAATTAAATATTATAAATATAATTTAAATGTGTTTTAATTTTTTATGTAATAATTGAAAATGATTTTAATAGTAAAATCTGTTAAGGATTCCCAATGGAGGTAACCTGAACTGTTTTTTTTTTTTTTTTGTAATCTCGTATTCCGATACGATGGACAGTCGCCAGGCCAGGCGGACCGTCGTCTGCATGTCTTTCACACTTTCAAGTGCAAATGCATTAGTAATATAAGATATTTTAATTTTTGATGTAATTTATTTGTCTCGACTGGCTATATCCGCGTCGAGAATTTTATTTATGAGTCTGCAAAATTCCTTCAGATAATTTCCAGGAATCATCCTTCTCAGATATAGTAAGTCCGAGAAATCATCCCCCGTATATGTAGAAATTAGTGTAACCCCGCCTCTTACGGGCGGGGCTAATATTGTGTATCCTAATTTTTAATAATTTTATATAGTATAAGTTCAGAGCTCAGCATAGAAAGACTAACTATCTGATGCCCTTATATTCAATATATTCTTTTTTTTTATATAAAAAAATACTAATATTAAAGTCGCCTTTTTTATTTATAATCCATCACACCAGCAGTTCCATTATAGAACAATTAAAAGTGTAGTGGTTAGAATAAGTAAACGACAACACCCTGTTAGACGTGAAGTAATTTTTAAGCTTCGCGCCTTAACATTTGGTCCAAACGTACCGGATATTTATCATTTGGACTTTTATAACTTTCCAAAGGACACAAATTTAATAATTTTAAGTGATCTTTTGGACGTTCAAGTAAATTAATTAACCAGCAACATACAGTCCGCTAAAATAATAATTAGTGATTTAATAATTCAAGTGATTAAATTAAATAAAATCATATATCAAATCACCAATTCAAGAATAATAATTCTATAAATAATATTTACCAAAATATAATCGAATTATTAAATTGAAGTGAATAATTATTAAATAAGATCAAATTAATAGAATGAAAGTGATTAAATTTTATTAATAAATTACAAATAAATAAATAAAATTCAAGTTATTAAATAAAATAAATTCATAAATCAAATTATCAAATTAAAGAAAAACAAAAATTCATGTTTATATTTTTTTTTTTATATATATTTTTATTGGCCTCTGGTAAACATTTAGCCACATACATAATGTACAATATACAGGTAACATATATAGTATATTGGTCATTTACAACTTAATTTTACTATTATTAATAAACCTAATTATGTTAGGATAACAGTTCAGATTTTGCAACAATGATGTCAAATTAAAGGGTTTAAGGTGTTTTAATATAGTGTAGTTCCTCTAACAATTTAGTCCTGCTTGCCTCAAATATACTACATTCTAGTATGATGTGTTCAGATGTTCCGCTTGATGCTCCACAAGGACATGATTCTGACTCTATTATTCCCAGCCTCTTCAGGTGTGCAGGGAAGTTGCCATGGTTAAGCCTTAGTCTTGTTATTGTTACGATGGTACCTCTGTTTTCATCTGCATATTTTCGGAACCACGGTTTCGTCTTCAATTTGGGGTTGACTGCCTTGTAGTGTCGTCCCTTTGTTTCCGACGATCTGTTCCATTGCTCTTGCTATTTTTTTCTTTGAATTATTTATATAGTCTTTCCTAGTGGCTAGGTTGATCATAGTTCCGTATTCTGTTGCCCATTTTGCTATGGAGTCCGCTTCATCGTTTCCACTAGAACCGGAGTGCGATCTTGTCCATAATAATTTGACTGTATACCCGTTCTCCAATAGCTGTATAAGTCTATTCCATACTTCATATACTAATGTCTCGCTTAGTCGATTAGTATGGAATAGATTTTTCAGTTTATCTATGCAGCTTTTGCTATCGGTAACTATGGCTACTTTAGTGATTTTGTGGCTTTCTATATATTCAATTGCTTTTTTTATAGCTATTAGCTCGGCTGACCAAATTGAAACGAAGTCTGGTAGTTTATATCCTATTTTGATATTATCGTTTTCATAAAATAAAGCGCAGCCAGTTTTGTTATTAATTTTTGACCCGTCTGTAAATATAACTTTATAATCCTCTATGTTGATTGTATTCGTATTGAATATTTTTTCTATCGTATAACTGTTGTCTAATGTGAAAAAGTTATAATACGGGTGTTTATTGTATTTATTTGTGTCCTCTTGTTTCAATTACTTTTATATAGCTATATACCAAGCTTGGTTTTGGACGATTTCTCCAATAGTCACTTGTTAATGTATCTATGGCTACATTCTTGATATTTTCGATTGTTCTATTATTTTGTACTTGGTATTTTTTAAGTACAAATTTATCACTTAAATATCGGAATCTTGAATGTAAAGGCATTTCTCCACATTCCACCAACAAGGCGTTTGTAGGTGTGGAGATCATTGCCCCTATGCACAGTCTCAAACATTTATATTGAATTTTTTCTAGCTTCCTGCAGTGAGAAGAGTTACTGAAAGCTAGACTTCCATACTCCCATGATGGTCTAATTATTGTTTTATACAAATTCAGGGCTGTGGTAGGGTGAGCTCCCCACCATGTCCTATTTACCATACGTAAAATGTTGATTTTTGGCTCAATTTTTGTGATTACTTGATTTATATGTGTTTGAAAGATAGTTTTTTGTCGAATGTGACGCCCAAAAATTTATTATTTTCTTGTATTTTGATTGTATGGTATTTAGTCGTTAGTGCTGTTCTTTCTTCTAGCTTCCTGCGTCTTGTAAAGATTCCGATTGAGCTTTTTTCGTCCGACAATTCAAGTCCTTTCTTTGCGAGCCATTCGTGGAAGAGATCTATGTTACGGCTCATCACCTCATAGGCTTCCTGGAGGCTTGATTTTTCTATATATATTACGACGTCATCTGCAAATTGTAATATTTTGGTACCTGTTTCCCATATTTTTTCTATGTCTCTTACATAAATTGAGTATAAGATGGGGCTAAGAATTTCTCCCTGTGGTAGGCCTTTGTAGATTTTTCTCGGCCCTATCAGTTTCCCATTTATTCGGAAAAATATCTTTCTTTCTCGGATGTTGGTCGTAATTGAGTTTATGAATTTTCCTGGTAGTCCAGTGTTAGCCAAGTATCTTCCAGCACCTCTGGTAGGACGTTATCGTACGCACCTTTAATATCGCTAAATAGAGCAACGACATAGTTGTTTTTTGCCATTGATAGATATAGATCTGATATAAAGATCGTTAGGTTGTCATATGTTCCCATGCCCTTTCTAAATCCACATTGGGATTTGGGAAGTATGTCATACTTTTCTACCCACCATTCTAATCTTCTCTTGATCATTCTATCTTTGACTTTTGCAATGCAGGAAGCCAAAGATATGGGTCTATACGATGAAACTAAATTTGGGTGTTTATTCATTTTTCTGATAAGTATTATCACTTGTTGCCCCCAATCTTCTATTGCTTCTGGATTCAGCCACACTTTATTAATTATATCTACCAGTATACTTTTGGCTTGTGGTGTCAAATTTGCAATCATTGAATATGATATGCCGTCTTTTCCAGGAGCTGTGTTGTTGCTCCTCTTGATAGCTATTTCCAGTTCCCACAATGAGAATGGTTCCATCAGATTGTTTGTTTCTCTTTCCAGGACAGTTTTATTTCCATTGCCTAAGTCATTTTTGGCACCCGGTGGTGATAGATAGTCGATGATTTCCTCACTAATTTCTTCAGGGATATTACTATATGTGTCGGTCCCGTTCGTGTGTTTCTTGAGACGTCTAATCATTCCAAATACTTCTTTGACTGAAGTATTTGGATTCATTTTATTGACGTATTCCTTCCAACTGTCTTTTTTCTTCTTCCTGAAAATGTTTTTGATTTTCTTGTTTATATTCTCACACGTTAAATAGTTTTTATAGTTGGATTCCTGTCTATAAGCTTTTTCACCCTCTCTCCGTTCCTTTATTAGCTGATTGCATTCGTCATCCCACCACACTGGTTTAATGAACCTAGTATTTATCAATTTTTTCCTTTTTGGAATGCTTTTTCTGCCGCTGAGTTAATTATCCGTATAAAATCTGTGTACGCTTTTACGGGGTCACTCACACAAAATCCATTTAGTTCATCTTCTAGATGTATTTGATACTTTTCCCAGTCTGCTTTATTGAGGTTCCATCCAAGATCGTTATTTTGGAGTTGTGGAACTTCTTTTTGTTTCAGAGTTAGAATTATGGGGTAATGATCTGAGCCCAGAGACTCATCGATTACACTCCAATCTATTTTGTGCGCTATGTCCTGAGAGCAAAATGATATATCAACTGCTGTAAAATTGTTTTTAGATCTCAAAGTTGGATTTCCATCATTGAGTATAAATAAGTCATTGGACTCTACGGATTCTAGTAAATTATTTCCCATTCTGCTATTCCATTTACCTCCCCATGCATAATGATGGGCGTTAAAATCACCGCACAAAATAAATGGGCTTTGGAACTGTGACAATATATGATTCCATTGACTTACTGAGATATTGCTGTTTGGTGCAACATAAATGGATATAATGGTCAATTTGGTGTTACAGAACATAAGTGTTATTCTTTTGATTTGGCACTTGCTTACATCTATTGTGCCTATATTAATGTTCTCTGTATTGAGTACCGTGATATCATCCTTGACTATTATAGCCGTACCTCCATATCCATCATTTCTATCGTTGCGGAAGATCTTGTAACCTCTGAAAGTGCAGTTGTTACCACCTTTTAACCATGTTTCTGAGAAGGCCGCTATTTGAATCTTTTTCTCGTATAGAAAATGTTCAATGCAGCCTTTGTTGGCAAACACTGATCTACAATTGTATTGCAATATTTTCAATTCCTGTGTCATTCTTGTCATTTCGGATTTGTTAGGTTTATCTGATCTCTTTCCATCCGATTAATTATGGCCATTAGCACTTGATTATTTTTTTGGTTGGTAGGGTTAAAAACATCCTTTAGTCTTTTGATTATGTGGTTCAGAGATATTTGCTCTGATGTGCTTGGATTTGGTTGTATTCCTCTTTTCTGTATATTCGTCGTTCTAACATCCTTCTCTTTCGTTTTTCTCTGTCTGTCCTCTTTTGTCATTTTCGTATTTACGTTTTCATTTTTTTTAAATGGTATTTTATTTATATTAGGTGACGCTTTTCGTGCATCGTTTCTGTTTTATTGTTATTATTAGAGTTTTTAATGCTGTTGTCTATGGCTGGTGTCTCAACGCTAGTATTGTGTAGTCTCCGTTTCTTGGGCTGATTCACTTCCGTATTTTCTGGTTCTTTATCTCTTGTGCGTTGTTGGTGATCTTGAATATCGGGAAAACTTTTTTGTTTTGTAAGTCTAGTCTAGTTGTAATTATATTTGCGTAGGGGCGGTTCTCCAAAATCCTTTTTGCTTCATTATAACTTGCATTATTAAATTCCATTATTTCCTTTAATTTAATTTGTTTTTTGTAGACTTCGCAATTTTTGTTAATTGCCTGATGTCCATTGCCACATAATGCACATTTGGGCTCTTCCTCCCTGTTATCGCACTCCTTGTAGTTGTGGTTACCCGAACAATGTCCGCACCTGACACTACTTCGGCACTGTGTGGTCACGTGACCATAACGTAAACAGTTATAACATTGGATTATTTTGTTGTATTGACTCACCCGACACTTCACCGCATGTATTGTTACTTTCTCAGGTAACCTTTGGCCTCTGAAAGTTAGAACGCATACGGGCGTTTTTACATAATCGTTGTTTTGTTTTTTAAGAATTCGTTTGACTTCTAATATTTCCACTTCAGATTTTATATGTTTCAAAATATGTTCTTCTGATAGCTCGGTGTCTACGTCGTATATTACTCCCTTTTTTATTACAGTAGATAGTGGTATATATGCCCTTGCGCCGATCTCTGAGAATATGTGGTCCGCTACCAACTTGTTTGTGAATTTGTAGTCATAACATTCAATTTTGATTTTGTTAATTCCGATAGCTTTAATTTCCTTTATATATTTGTCCATCTCTGGGTGCTTGTTAAATATCTTTCTTCCTAATGCCATGTGGTGTAGTTTGCCTATGTTTTTGTTCATCGATTCCACATAAATTAAAAATGGTCCTATGTCTTTTTCTGTGTATGACACTGTTTTAAATACTTTAGTATTTCTCGATTGATTATTTTTTTCATATGTATTCTCATTAATCTTATCGTTGGTTTTTAAATTTTCATTAATATTAATTACCTCATTATTATTAATAGTTTCTTGGGAAGGTTTGTCCCCTGTGAGATTTTCACTGGCACTGTTTTTCCCTCGAGTCGTTTCTAGATTTGTTATTGTTTTCATTTCGTTGTTTGATACAACGTCACTTTCTTGCACTAAATTGATTGTTCCTTTAGGTGTAACGTCACTATTTAATTTATTTAAATTAGCGTTTGATTCAGTTTCCATATCTTCTCCATAACATATACGCAATGCGTTTCCTATGCACGGACCTAATTGTATTTGTTCACGGTCATCGTCGGGACCCTCTACGTAGGGTCCGCTATCCATGATGTCACTATTTCAACTACCTGCTACGGATTACTCACTATTCAACACTGAGGTCTTTATCGTTCGAACGCTCGTTGCTGACTGAAAAAATTCATGTTATTAAATTCAATAATAACAATAAATAAAATTATTAAAATAAATAAATCAAATAATCAGATTAAATATATGTTAACAAATAGTGAAATTAAATACAGTTAACACATAATTATTATAAAATTCGTAAAAACGTCGTGAATACAAACAAAGGAACCGTACCAGCTGATAAACATACACAGGCAGAAAACAAGTTCGAGGGTTGCACTACTTGCATAATTCAGGTACTTCCTTCAAATACCCTTTCATTATCCTTTTGTTAATAGTTTTTGTCTGTGATAAAAAATGGAATCGGTAAAATCATTAAGAAATAAGAAACGCGGATTAAAGGCGCAGTTCACGGTGTTAGATAATGCATGTAACAAGTTAATAAATAGGCCGTTGTCTGATTTAAATGTTAGGGATATAGAAGAATACTTAAATAAGTTGAACACTTTGGAGGAAAATTACGTAAATGTTATTAATAATTTAGCAAATGTCTTAGACAACGAGGAGGAAATAACTGAATTATACGACATTGATTTAATTAGTGTCTTAAATGACAGCAAACGATTAACAGATAATTTCAATCAAGTAAAAAATAAAATACCTCAAACCGATTTAAGTAATAATAATATTAGGAGTGAACAAAGTCAAAGTTTCAACAATAATATAAAACTTCCAAATATCGCATTACCAACATTTGACGGTTCCTATAGTAATTGGTTACAGTTTAATGATTCGTTCACGGCATTAATTCATAATAATACCAATCTAAGCAATGCCGAAAA